TAATACAACCCCAGGGACTACAACAGCCAAGTGTAATACAACCCCAGGGACTACAACAGCCAAGTGTAATACAACCCCAGGGACTACAACAGCCAAGTGTAATACAACCCCAGGGACTACAACAGCCAAGTGTAATACAACCCCAGGGACTACAACAGCCAAGTGTAATACAACCCCAGGGACTACAACAGCCAAGTGTAATACAACCCCAGGGACTACAACAGCCAAGTGTAATACAACCCCAGGGACTACAACAGCCAAGTGTAATACAACCCCAGGGACTACAACAGCCAAGTGTAATACAACCCCAGGGACTACAACAGCCAAGTGTAATACAACCCCAGGGACTACAACAGCCAAGTGTAATACAACCCCAGGGACTACAACAGCCAAGTGTAATACAACCCCAGGGACTACAACAGCCAAGTGTAATACAACCCCAGGGACTACAACAGCCAAGTGTAATACAACCCCAGGGACTACAACAGCCAAGTGTAATACAACCCCAGGGACTACAACAGCCAAGTGTAATACAACCCCAGGGACTACAACAGCCAAGTGTAATACAACCCCAGGGACTACAACAGCCAAGTGTAATACAACCCCAGGGACTACAACAGCCAAGTGTAATACAACCCCAGGGACTACAACAGCCAAGTGTAATACAACCCCAGGGACTACAACAGCCAAGTGTAATACAACCCCAGGGACTACAACAGCCAAGTGTAATACAACTCCAGGGACTACAACAACCAGGTGTACTACAACCCCAGGGACAACAATCAAGTGTGCAACAACCCCAGCAGCAAGGCAGACTATGGCGATAACGTTTTGTTCCGTTAGAAGATGACAGGGCACTTCTCTTACAAGATATAGCTGAGAGTAAAGCGACAGCAGTACAAGCAAGATTTAGAGCTACCTCTTTCAATACAAAGGTTATGACGTCACTTACCGCCAAATTATGAGATGGTATTCTGTACATAAGCAATAATGTTAAAGTAAATACGTTTTTGGAGTTATTACAATCAAGTCAGGAACTGGCTATACACTAGCACACTAATAATTAACAAATTACTTCAAGTTGAAAGGTTGTGTCGTAAGAGGTTTGTTTACGAACAGGCGAACATTAGCGCAATTGCCTTTCTTTCCTGCACAAGGTTGCATCTGTGTAAGAGCATTCAAACTAGAACCTGAAAATAAAACAAGCAATTAACACTAGATCATTTATATGAATTGACTCCATCAAGGTATGTAAATAATTTCCATTGAGCTAGACCATATGTTTCATTTATAAAATAAACGTTTACTGTACCATATTGCACTATTGTAGGATTATTGTTCTGTCCGTTTCTGCTCCTTTCCAGAACGTCTTGGTTTGTCCTAGCAGTAACAATACAACAGCCAGGGAAATCGGTGAACATGTTACCACAGAACGTTTCAAACCCAAGTATCATAGAAAAAACGTCAAACTTTGTCTGGTCAGCTAAAAAGCTCTTATTTCTGTCTGCCCTGGGTAAATGGGTCGTAGTTGTCGCATCCTTTTCCCAGTGTTTAAGTCACTGTAGACACTGTTCTGTAAGAACCGTGAGTCTTCCATTGAACTATATAGAAAATGACGATTATATGTTCAGATTCGCGTTTGAAATAGAGCATATGATACGGAGAACTAAGCAGAAGTTTTATATAATGTCAGAAACAATTGGACAGTGCAGAAGTGAGTGCGTATGCAACGTCCACACAACAAGTCTTGATATGTAATGACGAAGTCGAAGACAATTTTCTACTGACCTATACGGAGCAATATGTTTGAAATTTTTCAACAGCTGACTTGTCGTTTCCAAAAAAATTATGGTGCTGTCAAGGTGTGTGAATCTTTGCCTTCTTTGATTAAATAACGCTGATAGACCTGCAAATTAAATGAATTTATGTATACAGAATAGACTACGACAAACAAA